TTGCTGCTGCTACTCCTCCTACTACTACTACTACTACTACTACTACTACTACTACTACTCGCGTATCAGGCCTGGTGTTTTCAGGCGTTTCGGACTGAACTGATTCAGCAGATTTGAGCACTCCTATGGCCCTGTGGTGTTCTAGGTAGGCTGAGAATAAGAAGAATGCGTTTAGAGACATGAAGTGCCGAAACTAGTGGCAGGCGCAAGGGTTCGCGGATAATTCAGCTCAGAGTGGCACAAATCAGAAAGTTATTTTCGAAAAAGTCTGTCTCGAAATCGCTGTCTAAAGAATTCACAAGCAAGAGCTGAGGGCACGGAGGCTTAGGGCTAAGGAACAGGACCCTAAGGAACATGCACTGGCATGACTCTATTACTCTATGTACTAACTTCCGGGCATCTTTCGAAGAGCCTGTCCCCCGAAAAAGCGGCATGAACATACAAATTTCGAAGCCATAACACTTCATCAAGACAGAATGCCATCCCGGGGCTTGGACTTCGCAGCTGTTGGCATTCTACTGCTTGCGCTCTTGCGCCGGCATTAACAAAAAACTGACGATGCATGTCTCGAGCTCGGGACCCCAACATCGGTTCGAGGTATTGGGCTGTGCACTTAGACTCTTCGAAACTTCGAAGCTTCGTGGCTCAGCAATCACTTACTTTTTTGTTGCAATCGCAGGGTCAGCAGTCTGAGACACGCAGCTTTGACCTATGTGGTGCTTGGGGTTAGGGATATCTGTTCGCAGCCTCCGATCTCCTTGCTTCGGCTCGGGGTAGTAAAGCTTGATTTCTGTTTACAAGACGTGCCTCTCGCCCCAAAACATTAACTCATGAACGTGGTGGCGAGATTGAAAGAAGCAGCTCCTATGCTGGCATTGTCAAGCCGTCGTGATCACTGGAGTGCTCCTCAGTTGTTCGGCTGGGGGTCTAGCAAGGAGAGAGCAGCGCTCGTGCAAAAACCGATTTGCAGAAACCCTCGAATGACAAGATGCCCATTCTTTCGACACAACAGTAGACATTAAAGGAATTGCCGAACTCTCTGCTCCCTCCTCGCCGGCCGGACCTCTCAGTCCGGAATGCTCTGCTTGGCAATCCTGGGAGCAGATTTCGCTGACGCAGTGATTCCACTCTTGAGGTTTGGGATTCTGCAAGGCGTAGGCTGAGATGTTCTGCAGGTTTGGGCGGAGGGAGCGCGGCGGAATCGCTGTCCAAGTACTGGCGGCTCGAGAAACTGCCTTCCCCCAACTGGCTCGTTTCGGGAGCAGCCTTAAGTCGCTTGCAAGTACCGAGAGCAAAAAGTGGTCCATGTGCTATTATTTACGATGAACCGCACCTGCCAGGAACGAGCACGCAAAAACCTCAGTAAATAACAGGACGTCAGTGAAAACTATGCACTTAGAAGCGCTTGGATTTCGCCCAGGCACATGCCACACGTGCTTTCCACCTGTTATGCCCAGTAGCAACGCCTATACGTCCTGCGCTGCGAAGCGTGCTTAATCACAATGTCGATGCCTGACGACTACCCGAAACGCAAGCAATCACTCCAAGAACTGACGCGACACCCACAGGATTCTTCGAAATAACTCTGGATGACGTCAAGCAATAAGCCCATGGTAGCTAGTGCGTGCTCCCTAAACTTACACCGAATTCCCCGTCCCCCTGGAGTTGCGGCCTCGTGGAGATGTTTGGCGGCCCCGCCAGCGTCGGCAGGGCTTCTGGGTGCAAGGCAAAAGGCCGCGGCAGAGACAACGGCTCCTCTGCTGGCGCGCGGACGCAGACGGCTGCTTCCTAATGTTGTTCATCATCTCATTCGAACTCGTAGTGAAAGCTTCAACAACGTGATCCGGATGATTGGATGATGATGACGACAATGAAGAAGTACAAGGTGATGATGACGATAGTGCTGGTACTGATGCCGGTGATGCGGTTGATGGACAAAATCCTGCATGACCTTGTATACCTAAACTATGGGATTTATGGTACCCTACTATACTTGGGTCATGCAGAATTTTGTCCATCAACAGTGCTGATGATCAGCGACCGCAAAGAACAACATCATGTTGGTCGTTGCGACGAACATCATCAGTGTGAATGTGACGGCGTCGCCAATACTTCCATTGAGCCCATTATAACGCTCTGGATGACTTGGCTGCCGCATGCCGACAGGGTCACAGGGCTGGGTGAGCAGCAGCAGACAATGGCAGAACAAAGAAAGACAATGGAAAATCCGGAACCTTCCCTCCCAAGAGTCGCTCCCAATTACATGGCCATTGACCACCCTCCAAAGCTTGGATTGTGGCTTCATGTGGCTTCCAAGGTCCCAAGACCTGAAACTTCGACCCCGGAAAGTGGGATTGGCACAGCCCCCGTGATTTGCTAACAGACGAATGAACTGTACACTCTCTGCGGCCAACATTCAGTATCTTGTGCACTCTGAATCTGGTACGTTGGCGTGGTTAAAAAATCATGAATGAGACAGTCAGAAATGCCCTCGAGGATCTGTCTTGATGTCTCTGTGTGACCGAGAGACAGTGGCACGTGGGCAGGTGGTGGGGAGTCGGGAGGGGTGGGTGGGCGGGTGGGGTTTGGTTTTCGCAGTTTCAGGGACAAGGGACGCGATCGAGTAGTCCACAGAACTCTCAAACTGGTCGATGCCAGCTGTTATCTCGAGGTGGGGCAAGGCTTCGGGCTTCCCCAGTCTGCCTGAAGCTGATCTTCGATGTTTCCGTGGACCTCCTCATTGTCCCGGCTGCCTCGCGTGTTGTTTCAGGTCGCACAGTGCAACTGTGAGGGATGGCTTCGAGCTGAAGGTGTAGAGCTTGGGGTTGACCTCACACTCCTGGCATAGCTTGAAGCTTACGACGACTTGCCTGGATGTCATTGACAGGAGCCCGAATTGCCGTGATTTGCAATGTCACCAGCGCCCAAACATATTGAATGGCATCATATCGTTGGATGAGTAAAGGTGGATTCAGACCCAGCAGATATTTCAAGCTTCCACACGGATTGCCTTCGGTCGCCCATTGGCGCAAATGCCTTTGCTGCTGGACTAGGAGGTTCCACTATGCAACCACATGTGGCAAAACAGTGCTTCACGCGCCCTCGGCATCTAGCTGAAGCAGCAACAACAAGAACAACAATAACAAAAATACTCATAGCAACAAGAAGAAGAACAAGAACTGCTACTGCTACTGCTACTCTGCTACTCCTGCTCCTGCTGCTAGTGCTACTGCTTCTTCTACTGCTGTTGACTCGCTGTTGCTACTAATGATACTCGTACGAAATGCTCCTAGTCTAGTCTTACTCCTACTCCCACCGCCACTCCTGCTCCTACTACTGATGCTTCTACAGATAGTACTAGAAACTACTACTGCTACGACGACGACTACTACTACTGCTGCTACTACTACTACTACTACTACTACTATTGCTACTACTACGACGA